GCCGAACGCACCGCGTGGCTCACGCGCATGGCGGCTGAGCCCGGGCCCCGGCCCCGAACGCCGCTAATGGGGTGCGTGCGACTGAAATCCCGACTTAACTTTAATAAAACCGGATAAAACCGGATTTGGGCAGGATCCAGGTGCTCCGGTTTTATATAAAAACCGATTAAAACCCGAATGAATAAAACGGGGCCGTGCCAGCCTTGCTTTAAATCAAAATTTAATGGATTGTATTGCAACGCCGTCTGCTGCCCACCCAAGTAGCGCCCCGCAGACCCGATGGGAACCCGCTTGTGCGTGGTGGCCGTCCAACCCAAGCGCTGTCCGGGCTCAGGTGCTGCCGAGCTGCCCAGTGTCTTGACGAAACCCGTGGCGTTCCGGGTGATCTGGTCACGCGGGTGCAACGTCGCAAATCCGACTGGCCGGGGGGACTGAGATGCAGGCGGATATGCGAAAGGGTCAGATTTGTGAACGTCGACCAGAGAATGACGGTTTCACCGTGCGCAAACACTGCTCTGGGTGCTGTGAGCGGTTAAAAATCGATCGCGCTCAGATATGCGACATTGTATTGTGAAAAATAATCTAATTTTATCACAAAGAAGGCAGCCACTGTCCCTGGTGTATCTGCATTACCGGTGAGGTCATGGCAAGAACACGACTCTTGGATCACAGAAGTAAATAATCCCAGTTCCCTCGTGTTTAATGATTTACGCTGTCCTGACACAGCCCGGGCTGCGACAGCGTCCGTCCTTTAGGGTGGTGCAAGGATTCATCAGTTAACAGTATGACTATGCTTTATTACCCACGAAATCCCCACCGAGTCTCAAGACCTTTTTTCAGGAGGGTACTGCCAGGTTTTTTGCAGTAGGTGGCGAAGATCGCTGCTGCGTGCAATCCCAAAAATAAGTAATTTGTGAGATTTTTTTTTTAAATTGACCCAATTTTTACCACAATAAAAAAATTTAAGTTGGCCCAAATTGGCCCATGACGCAGGGGCACAATGGCCTCTTGCATCTTCGAAAGGCAATCACGGGATCTTTAACGCATGCTGTGAAGCAGCTGACGCAGGCTTTAAGATTAAAACACTTGCGGCATAAGCAGAGTGGCCTGCGATATTCGAAGCATGAACCTCTGCAAAACAAAAAAAGGTTCTGAGTGCGTCACCGCTGGGCCATGTCACCAATCACGATGTGGTATTTATTTAATTATCGACAATCAAATTAATAACATAACAAAATAATTACGTAATTACATAATTAAATAAATACACACCATCCAATCACGTGCGTAAGAATCGATGCTTTTCTATACGTATATGGTGCATGCAATGGATCACAATCATCCCCGCAGCCACTACAGACGTGCTACAATCCACCGGCAATTGTTGTGACGTGTATCATTTCACAGCTTTTCCCAATTTTATCGACGTCAATGTACCAGATGACAAATCCGTCCCGTCTCTCGCGGAGCAGCGTAAACCCTTCGTGTTAAGGGAACAGCCCGTTGAATGTGGACACCGCCGAGCCACGTCCGATATCCCTTAAAAGCGACCCTTGGGTCACAGAGTAAGATGGGCAGCACTGTCCCACCTGCCCCGCGCCACCCACAGTTCATCATCGGCTGCAACGTTTGCGGAGCAAAAAGAAAATCGATTATCAATTAAATGGCGGGTCCAGAACTGGCAGTGAATCATTCTACCCCGAAGATTAATTCTCTGGGCAAGACGCTGGTTCAGCAAAGTGGACAGCCACCACTGTGTGAGTTCAAAAATAAATTAAAATAGGACTTCAAATGATTGCTATGGGAAAGTGTGTAGGCAGCAAACAGAGGCCACTTAGAGTAATTGTAAGTGGACCTAGAAAGACGGCATCGGTGCTTATGGAGCCAAAATCAACCTTGAACCTCACCAATGATGTACGGAGAATCACTAATCTTTAAATTATACAAACGACTGCACAATTAAATGTTTAGTTATCGTGAATTGCTTGGGGCACTCTTGCAATTGATCGCCATTCACTTATGTGTACGAGCTGTCTCTCGGCTGATAGGCTCATATTGTGAAGTGGCCAAGAAATTACACGAATGTAATGGATTCCTGCATCTATCTGTGAGGAGCTGTGAGCACTCTACCCTTGTATCTGTGGTGCGTTTTCTCTGGCTTACTCAATTTGCCTCCGACATGAGGCCAAACACTCGTTAAATGAATAGCCAAACATCCAAACGTAGCAGTACCCTCGTGGAAACACGGTATTTAGACCCGGCGAGGCTTTCCTGGGTAAAAAAGGGCATTTTGACTTCCAGGTGGTTCAGTGAAAGAGCGAGTGGCTTGCACTTGGCAGGTTATGAGTTCAAATCCTGGCTCAGAGTCGACTCGGCCCATCATCCTTCCTAGATTTATACAATGGGCAGCAATGTATGCGGTAGTCAAGAACAACTGTCCAATGGATAAACCTGCCCACAACATGGGAATAGGGAATTTCCACCACGTGCTCAGGGCTGTGAACAGGAAATGAGCCACTGCCTTAATGCTTATCTCAGCCGGAAATCACGTTCACTTTGAATATGATTGCACAGCACTGGGCTCTATGTGACGTGTAATACTCTCAGCTGGCCTGCACTCCCAAATTTTCTTTAAAAATACATGACGCATTAAAGAACACACCGACTCCACATTCAAAATAACACGCATTCATAATTAAGTAAGGTTGTAAACAAGTTGGCTTTGAGCCGAACAGTGGCTCACACACTGCCCTACGAACTCAGTGACCTGAGTTTGATTCCCGGCTAATGGCCAATATCAATGGGGAGTGACATCTGAACTAGTCCTGGGCCTCCCACCCCTCCACACACTGCCTAGCATATAGATGTATGGTTAAACCACCCACACAACCTATCGCGGTGTTGGGAAGCACTTCATCCAGCAGCCTAGACGTGCCCATTATAATTACATGTGAAAACCAATCTTATAATGCATCATAGTGCATTACTTATAATTCACATAATCCAACGTGTAAGTGATATTCAGATATAAAATTATATAGAGGGGGTTACATCCAATGTCAGAATGTGCAGGTGGCTAAAACTCACAGCAGGGAGGGCTTTCGCTCCGATGATTGCCATTTATCATCGCGAGTGGCTCTCTGAGCTCCGAGTGTCTCCCCCATTGTCGAAAGCCATCAATATCATCTTACACTTGAATTACTGCTGCCCATTGATAATCGAGCGACACGGCGAGTCGTACCAGTATATTTAGTAGTATGCTTTAAAGAAAATCAGAAAAACACGGGTGCAGAAATTGCTATACAAGCCACGTGCTTTTGGATTGGCCACGTACATTTTCCTCCTGTGCATGGTCACTGCGATCCACTGCTGGATGAGGGCCTGCCCTCGTTGTTACTTGACCACAAGGGTACTTTCACAGAACCCCGGGCGGCACGGGCTACAGGTGAACTCGGGCAGAAGAGATTCGGGGAGCACAGACGGGGTTCTTGCCGAACTGCCCTGTACTGCCGATCACGTGGCCCCGCAGCCTATACCAACCGTAACAACATCGCCATGTTGCAGTAGAGGACCTGTACTTTTTCAAATGCATGGGATCACCCATCCAAGCACTGTCCGTGCGCAACCGCCTGCTTAGCTTGCCGTATCTGAAAAACTCGGTGCCATCAATTCCGGCGACCAATTCGGTTAGAGATTGCCCGTGCACAGCAGCACTAAAAGAATGTAAATTAATAAAAACCCCGACTGACATGAACGCTGCATCACTTGTGCAAACTAACCATTGAGGTTCAACGTTGATGGGGGTGATGCGTTCAGCCTGAGATGTAAACTAATAAAAGGAAAGCGGAGGAGTGGCATCATCTGTGCGCTCACACATGCTGGCACAACGCATTGGCATGCAATCCGCACAGCATTGCAACGTTCATCGCAAGCCAGGGGGATGTGATACTGACGATAACTCGAGCAGGGTGGTGGTGCGGTTTCGTGAATGATGGATACGGGTCTCTAGCAACAGCTGTGTGCAGCCGGCTAGGCGCAAACCAAACAGCCACGAGTAACCGCAGTCAATGCCACACCACCACTGCACCACAATGATCGTCGTCCTTATCATCGCCACCAACATCACCATTCGCACCACCAACAACCACCATCAAACAAGACTCACCGCAATGTGACGCCTGCGTCAACGTGTTGAAGGAAACAGCCGGGATTGGTGTGGCGAGCACCACGCCCGGTCGCCTTTGTCTTCCCCAACGCTGATGTTTATAGAGACTGCACGCCACGTCCTGGTCCCCCGAGCTAAGCCCCCCCCAAGACAAGTTCTAAAATCGCTTGCCACTGATGTTAGCCGTCGCCGAGAATCGAACTCAGGTTGCCGGGTCTGTAGCGCAGCGTGCTCTTGACCAATACAGCGGCGAATGTTTGAACCGCCTCTGGGCCTCTCCTACGTCAACTCGGCCTGAAATGAGTACCTGGTGCGATTTGTAAATATCAATGGGGAGACAAATGCGGCTGGTAGTGGTATTAACTACCCACTCCCTCGTGTGCCATGCCTGCCAATGCTGTATTGGGTGCCTGCTATCAGCACTTTGCTCCAACAGTCTGTTAAAAAGACTATACGGGGGATCTTTGCCTTTGTTGCATCTGTGTGGTTGCTCATATCGTGTCGTGTGTGTGAACGTGTGCACGCGTGGAGCGGTGGTGCAGCGGTTAGCGCACCGCGCTACGAAAGCATCACCACGATCTCCAAACTAGCACCATCAACCACCACCAACCCATTTCCAACCACGATCTGTACCACCACCGCCGGCATTCCCAACTTATCGGCGACGATATCCATTGTCAACCACGAGGCGATACTCACGACGCCGCGATGTTTGGTGGTAGGTGATATTTGATATTCACCACCACCACCAACAACAACAACGACAATCGTCGCATAACAATACCGAGGTAGGGGGGGAGGGGGTATGGGGTGGGGGTAAGGGTATCCCCTTTACCTGCGGGATCTGGGGGTATCCCATCCATCGGGGTCCTGGCGGCGGAGTGGATCGGCGGGCTCAGCAGCACAGAGCAGAAAGCTCCAGAGACAGAGACTCAGAGAGAGAGACAGACGCAACTCTCACCCAGTGTCACACGCACATAGCGAGACACAATCCCACGCACTCGCACAGTCAGACTACAGGCACACACACGCGCACACACCAAGCCTCGCCGGCGCACTGTATTATACGCAGCGGCTGCGCGCGGAGCATGGGGGGGGTGCTGCTGATGATGATGGGAGGAGGAGGGTGATGGGAGGATGGAGCGGAGCGAGACGGCGCGGGGGTGGCGCGCGCGTGGACGTCACGGGGCCGCACCTGCAGATTGATCCCCCGCGGGGAGCGCGCGTCACAGACACACACACACTCACACTGACACACACTCAATACACACACACACTGACACACACACTCACACTGACACACACACTCAATACACACACACACTGACACACACACTCACACTGACACACACACTCAACACACACTGACACACACACTCAATACACACTCACACTGACACACACACACTCACACTGACACACACTCACACTGACACACTCACACTGACACACACACTCAATACACACTCACACTGACAGACACACACACACTGACACACACTCACACTGACACACACTGACAAACACACTCACTGACACACACACTCACTGACACACAGATCCCCCGTGTAGCCTGTAACAGACTGTAGGGGCAAGTGCTGTTAGCGAACACCTATGAAGGCCGGAACGGTACACGAAGGGGTGGGTGGCCAGCAACCACGCCCGACCGCCTTTGTCTCCCCAGTGGCGATGTTTACACACCGAACCAGGTACTCAATTCAGGCTGAGTCGACCTAGGGGAGGCCCAGGACCGGTTCAGATAATCGTCACTGGTGTTGGCCGTGATCGGGAATTGAAGGGTTCATAGTGCTAACAGCTACACTACCGCTCCCCACACACACACACCTAAACACGCACATACCTACACACACACACCTACACACATACCTACACACACACATACCTACACACACCTACACATATACACACCTACACACACACACCTACGCACACAAACACCTACACACACCTACACAAAGATAAAAAAAAGATCCCCCATATAGCCTTAGACTGTAGGGGCAAGTGCTGTTAGCGAGCACCTATGAAGGCCGGAACGGTACACGAGGGGGTGGGTGGCCAGCACCACGCCCGACCGCCTTTGTCTCCCTAGTGGCAATGTTTACACACCGCACCAGGTACTCATTTGAGGCTAAGTCGACCTAGGGGAGGCCCGGGACCGGTTCAGATAATCGTCACTGGTGTTGGCCGTGAGCGGGAATCGAACTCGGGTCGCCAGGTTCATTCGCACGCCTACTCCCTCACCCACTTACATATGCACCTCCACACCTACTCACCTGTATCATACACATATCTATGCATACCTCTTCACAGAGTCACGTGCATACGTACTCACTAACCTAAGTTTCTATTTGCATAAATACCTTGGAGGCCGTCCATAAATGACGTCATGCACCTATGGGGGGGGCTCAGACATTTGTGACGATGTGTGACGAGGGGGGGGGGGGGGTTGAGAAATGTGACGTCACGTAAAAATACGCAACTTTAAATATAGACAACACCTTCTACTTAATTAAATATACTTTTTAATAAATGTTTTCTCCTACAACATCAGAGTGCAGCGCCACATTAAATACGCACTACAATGACAATAGTTTAAAGCGATTTGAAGCATGTTTTATTTTCAAAATGGAAATATGGTTTTTTGGGGGGGGGGGGGCAAAGCTTTGTGACGTCATATTTGAGGGAAGGGTCTGACTTTTTGTGACGTCGTGTGACGAGGGGGGTCAAAAATCGTCCAAAATCGCGTGACGTCATTTATGGACGGCCCCTTATCATGTACTCACATATACTGTAAATTTACTCACCTATTCACCTACTCACGTACCTAGACATATACACCTATATGCCTACTCACCTGTACGCATACTTTCTCGCCTATGCAGTTACACCAGTACGTGTGTTTGTTGAACTTCCTTCGCACCGTACGCAGTCAACGGCGCTAACGTGTGAAGGCGAGTAGGTGAGAAGTTACCGATGTAGCTTGTATGTGTAACTTCTGACGCGGTCACCTGCACGCCTTAGCCACATATCCACCCCCTACTCACCTGTGCACTCACCTATGTAACCCGCTACTTACCAGTGTCGCAGTCCAGGTAGCCCTGATTAATACGACGGGTGTATTAACCATTATATAAATACGCGCCGTCCGCTTCACGGTGCGCCTTAAATGCGTTATTCGCCACATTCGAAATCGGACTCGCAGAAGTGACCCCACGCACTTAATTGGGGGGGGGGGGGGGGGGGGGGGGAAGCCCGTAGCGAGTGTCGCCCCCTACTGTGAAAACATCTTAGCAGGCTCGAGACTCGGGAGGTTTTCCTGGGTGGAAGAAGAAGCAGAAGGATCTCTAATTCGCGTACACACTCACCCCATGCACTTACCGATACGTCAACGAAAAGCAATCTGGTCGATGATCTAGCATTCATTGATTCACTCCAGTTTCTCACCGGCCTCCTTATCACGCCTCTATCGCTGCTACCATAGCTCCATTCCCACTGAACCTCTATCTCTCGTTGATTCCTCCTCACATGTCGAGGTGGCGAGATGAAAACCACCTCGCCAGGTATGCAGGAGGTTCGTGGGTTCGATCCCGACCCTGACGCCTGTTTATTTGGAGTTTGCATGTTCTCCCCGTGGTTCGCGTGGATTTTTTTCCTTCCGCATTTAGAAGCAAGATGCGTTTATAGTATTTGGCTGATAAGCCACTTCGTTGAGCCATTTGTTTGTGGCCAGGTCGCTTCTGAAAGAGAGCTATATGACTCAGTGAGCCTTACCTGATTAAAAAAAGCAATTAATGTGTGTATAATCGTGTCAATAACATACATAACTGGTCAAGAAGGGTCCATATGTTAAGCATCTGAACTGTAATGTAATGAGCACGCTGTGCTAATAAAACTAAGAGCTGTGGACCAGGGGTCAAGAGGACGACAAGGACTCGCCCGCAACTAGACAACCTAACCTTCGCCACTTGTTGCAGAGGCTCGCGGTTCCATTCGGGCGGGCCGCCCTGGTCAATATTGCGGGTTTTAGTAACCATAAAATACAAGTCGTCTGCTGCCATACCGTAGACGTCTCAGGGCCTGTAAAATCGTTTGAATAAGAGTGGGCAATTGTAGTCCAAGTCTTTCCACATTTGACAACATTCACTGCAAATTACGGTACTTAATTGGAAAACGTAGCAATTGTCGCCCTCTACTGCACACCCCTGGCAGGACTCTCCTGAAACGGAGTTGAGACTCGGTGATGGCTTCCTACGTAAACAATCGTAATCAATAAAGACAGCACGACGGTGATGATTCTGATAGTGGTGATGATGATGAAAGCACACTCTGCACAAATTACATGGGACTCACGCATCCCTGCAACTGGAACACGTGGACTTGTTCGCAAACGAAGCTCGGCAATATTTGACCCAACGGCCCGCGTGCTATGAAGAAGGGTCATTTTCCGAAACGTTGCTTACTATTTATTATGTTACATTCAGGCGGCGTAGTTGTGCATCGAGTTTGTTTAGCCAGGAAGTCCTCGCTGAGAATCTCGGCTCTTTTCAAGGAGGTTGTCGCCAAGTTTGAAGTAATAATCCCGATTGAGTAATTTTGGGCGTAATTTTGAAAACCAAATTGGCCAAATATTCATCTTCTTATTGACCATGACGCTGGCGCACAATGGCCTCCTCCACCGAATGACGCCACGGGATTCTTTAACGTCCACTGTTAAGCAGACGGCGCGTATTGTTCCGGATAATACCCACCGCGGTGTTAATCTGGGTGGCCGCTGGATTTCTAACCGTGAAACCCCTGCAACGCAAGCAGCAGCGAACGCACTACGTCACTAACCAATAATAAAGATGGTGGAGGAGGAGGCTCAAGATGATTGCTGGGTATCGAAGAGCGCCGTCCTCCCACAAGGGCGTCAAGCCGACTCGAGCACAAAACGCGTCCGATTCTCCACTGAAGAGACGTCTGGGCAGGATATGAGGCTTGGCTTGCTGTGTGTGTGCATCGCGTGGCTCCTTGACATTGCGCCGTGCGAATGATTTTTAGTAAAATCGTGTAACCACTCCCCCCCCTTGCTCCCACCCACCACGTTGAGATACAAAGAAGGTCTCGAAGCGCTTCACACTGCAGTGGAATGCAATAGCAGAAAGACCCAAATAATAAGAATTGAACCCGCACCTTGAAAATGTACCACGTCTTCTGTTATTTTTTTATTGACCACGTTTCGTGCGTTAACGCTGCACTCCCATTAATCGTAACCGATCACGTGCCAGTGGCCACGCTAATCTTTGACGTTGTGGTTTTTTAGCCCTCCGGTTTTATTTCCCCACCGAAACGCCTGCTGATTGTGATAACAAAATAAAAACCACATTACACAGCAATGGGGGCGTGACACCGGCATCTCAACGAGTACTGCCCCGTAAGCGTGAGGTGTTTCTTTGAAATTGAATTGCCCCTACCGTCGATGTCAACAATTTTACACTCTACGCAATGGAATTTGTATTTTGATTTGCGTGACGAACTTCTGTACCCGTGGCCACGCCACGGGGAAGGGAAGTCGCAGCTGCTGCCCTTGGGCACAGGGGCAGCGGACAGGGCAAGGTGACTGTAAAAGACAAAAGAGGTCACGGCTCAAGACGAGCAGCTGGAAGAATGACGGAGCGACGGGATGTGAGAGGAGGAGGAGGAGAAGGAGGGAGGAGAGAGAGAGAGTAGGAATGACCGGGCCAAGACGTCGGGAATGAGAGAGGGTGGTGATGAGAGCGGAGGGAAGCCACAGAGGGAGAGAGACGGAAGGAGCGAGCAGAGAGTGAACGACTGCTTTGGGGATTCAGAATGGGGGTGGCCACATCGAAGTCACGTGATTTACCGGAGGCTTTTGACCTGAATTAGACATATGTCTCACGGTAAGACATGTTCATCACGGACAATGAGGCAATGTGGAAGCGAACGTTCCAGCTCACACCCGTCGGCAAAAAAAGGAAGGCACTGCTATGACGGTAGTGCACAAGCCCATAGTCATGACCAACATCACAATCCACTGCTGGATGAAGGCCTCCCAAAGCCGCCGCCATCTCCCGCGATTCCGTGAGGTCACGATCACCCGGCACACGAGCTGATTTCATCGCTCCGACTCTTTGAACGGAGATGGACACTGTAACAGCGAACAGATTGTGGAG